AAAAAAAAAAAGAAATATGAATGGAAAAAAGATGACCCTGCCCTTCTTAGACCTGGGAGATTCTCTTTCAGGCTCTCGACATCCTCTTATATCTGTTTTAGAAAGAAACAAAGTTAACGCTAAGTTAACCAAGAGGAGAGGGAAAGGCTTTTCTATATTTTCCATTAGAATGCCTTTGGTTACCCAAACAAGAGGCCAGTCATCACGTGTTCTAGACTCAGTTTACCAAACAACGCATTTTTCTTTCTCCTGCGTGTTACGGGTAGAAAAAAAACCTCAGAGTATTGTGTATCCTTTGGTACCTACTTGACTGAAAAATTGAAGATCTATGAATATATATAATAGTATGTACAGAATACAGATGGCTATAACTATATTGACTGTGTATGTTTTCATACTGTGTAGACATAGTCCCTTAAGCAGTTCCTTGGATGATTAATATTTTATAACGTTGATGGGCTGGTATCTACCCATTGGACCCAACCTGCACCATCACTGTCCTTTTTCATTATTGTAACCACCCCCGGCACCTCTCTAGCTCCCCCTTACCCCTTAATTGTAATTGAAAGAGGAAATAAGGAGGCCTCTATCATAATGCACGTGAGCTTGGCACCCCCCCCCCCTTGGCCATTTAAGGCCTGTTATTTGAGGAAGAAAAGCGGAAACTCAAAAGAGAAGAGTCTTGCGGTCCAGCAGTAAGAATAATATTCGTTTCGTTTCCTCTTCTGCCTGCCGCCGGCGGCCAGAGAACACCTGTCTCCGTAACCAGTACCGCTGCAGCAACGGGAACTGTATCAACAGCATTTGGTGGTGCGACTTTGACAACGACTGTGGCGACATGAGCGACGAGAGAAACTGCCGTGAGTCTCTTAGCTTGGCCGGGCGTCTGGGATGTTACACGTTTGTGGGTACCCGCGAGGCCGGTCAGCTCCTCCCAGGTGGGGACCTGCCACCCCAGATGGCCCCTCATGATCAGCAATACCCGTTTAGGCTGACGGGGCTTGGAGAACAGAGAAGAACATGTCTCCACCGCCACTTAGATACAGGTTATTGTTTAACACCCAACCCCCACAGGTGAGGGAACTGCTCACTACAAGGGGTTGACCAAGAAGCATCTCGTGGCTGAAACTGAGCTGCCTGGGGCGTGGGGCGGCCTGGGCTGTAACTGTGGCCCTACTACTGTGATAAAGCTGTTGACCAGGTGACATTCCTTGATCGGTAAATTCAACCTTTTCAGAGATTGGAAACAGGTTTTACTTTGTATGCCACTCCAATCGGCGGATATCAGCTGACTGCCAGGCTCTAGAGTGATCGTCCTAATTGACTGATGATGCCTGGTTTGGTTTGAAATGCGGGGCTGTTGGGGCGCCTGGGTGGCTCAGTCGGTTAAGCGTCCAACTTCAGCTCAGGTCACGATCTCGCGGTCCGTGAGTTTGAGCCCCGCGTCGGGCTCTGGGCTGATGGCTCAGAGCCTGGAGCCTGCTTCCGATTCTGTGTCTCCCTCTCTCTCTGCCCCTCCCCCGTTCATGCTCTGTCTCTCTCTGTCTCAAAAATAAATAAACGTTAAAAAAAAAAAAAATGAGATGCGGGGCTGTTGATAGGTGTGCATGGAAACATCCACTCCAAAGAGTGTATACTTTCTAAGGGTAACAACTAAAATATATGATTGTGTTTAGCAAGGTTTAAAGACAAACAAATAACTACGTATCATGGGTAATTGATTTACTTCCAGTTTTTAATTTTTAGTAGCTTCGACATTACCTTGTAAGGAGGTGCTTTGCCTTCTGACAGTGAGTAATACGTTCAGACATTCAGTCAACAAGTATTTGTTGAGGACTCCTTTGTTCTAGGCTCTGTGCTCTGTGCTAGGCTCTGTGCTTGGCTCTGTGCCTGGCCTCAGGTGATCAGGTGGACAGGTGGATCAGGAGTTTACAGTCTGTCGGGGAGCTGGAAAAATAGAGAGGCAGTTAGAGAGGAGCCTATGAGTGCTGTGATGGGGACGCGCCATATGCATCCAGGAAGAGCACACAAATCAAACTTGGGTAGGTATTTATGGAGAGCCCTGAAGAAGGGTGGGTAGAGGTGAACCAAGCAGAGGTGGAGGGAATATCGTGGTAGGTAAGAGAACCACAGGTATGAAAACCCAGAGGTCAGAGTGCGTGGTGTGGGACATCGGTGACAGGAATGGAGAGTTGGCCTAGGGATGGTCCCCAGAGCAGCAGGGGCCCGTGAGCTTTATTCAGAGGAGCAGTTGGGAACCGTTGAAATGACATGATGAGATTTTTGTCTTTGGAAAGATAAGGACTAGGAAGAATGCACTGGAGCGGAAGCAGACCAGGAGCAGGCAAGCCAGAAACTAATCCGCAGGCTTCTCTTTCAAATATTTCCCCATGAGAAATCCAGAAGCTCGTTGACCATTTTGTGCTGTAAGAAGAGGTCGATGGGTGCCTCCTGGCTCCATATACTCTTCTGGCCTCTGGTGGATGTACTTAGCCGGCCACCTAAGGGGCCTGTGCCAGGTTCCCAGGCTGTTCTATCCAGAAAGTAACCTCAGGAGCAGTCAATTCACTGACAAAACTATGTATTGCCCTTCCTGGCTCACAGGAGGTTTTTACTAAACCTCTTCTTAATGATTTTTTCCTTGGTTTCAGTGGTTGCCATTCACACCCAGGGAGAAGAGCTTACTTCAGATTTGGGAAAACATTAGGCTATCTGTGTGTTTCTTCTTTTCTTTTCTACCAGAGTCTCAGGAAGGTGTGGTGTTTGTGGGGGGAGAGCCAAAGCTCCTTAAAAACTGTCCACATGAACAACAGGGGAGCCTACCTTGGAAAGGACTTTATTACACAATGGGGAGGGAGAGGAGATGCTTCTTAGAATTGGCATGTTGGGTGAAGATTGCCAAGATATGATTAGGCTTGGTGGAAGCAGAGAGATTTAAACTAGATGACCTTGTGTCCAGTGATGAGGATTCTACCCTGGGTTTTGGTGTCTACTCGACGGATAAGCCGGGATCTTGTGTTGGTTCAGCGTTAGGAGGGAAGGACCTCCCTCCCTGTTTAGGACTTGACGCTCTCCCGCCCAGCCCGTGAGCTCTGCACGGGCCTCACAGGCTTCCAGAGAGTTCACACTCGTCCTCTGGGTCAAGTTGGCAGCTGGCTCTGAACCCGCCCTGCTTTGGTGTCACCGTCAGCTGGGATTGACCTTCCCGGGACCATGGGACTTACTTGCTGCTCTGTTCTTTCTCCATTCACTCCACTTGGCCCAAGTCCCGACCAGTCAGATGTGGCAGAGGGGAGGGGTGACAGGGCACCCAAGAGAGTGGTGCTTGTCTGTGCCTGCTCAAGCGGCTCCCTTATCAAGGAGGAGGAGAGCCGCGCTTATCTTGATGGTGGAGGCGCCCCGGCCGAGGGCAGGGCTGCAGGAAAGGGGCAGGCTGTGGCTGGGCAGTCCTGTCTGGGAAGTTAAATGCGACATCCCGTCAGCTGCCAGGGGGTGTGGCAGGGAGGCATCCTGTCAGTTCATCTCCCTCCTGCGCGCACACACTCCTGTGCTGGGTGGCTGTCAGGCGCTCTGGGTTTTGACATGAATCCCCTGCAGCCTTGTCATTTTTGCATTCATCCTGTGCCTCCCACCATGAGCTCAATTACAGAGAAGAAATGGAGCCTCAAATAAGAGCTGCTGGGGATGTGTCACGGCAGCGCTGGCTTTTCATTTCACGGCACAGCCCCACCCTCCGCCCCAGGATTCTCTTCTGTCACATCCTACCTTGTGTGTCAGCTGCTTCCGAGAGCAGCCTTTCCTGGAGGGTCCTTGGCTGGGGTCAGGGGGTTGTGCTCACCTTCAAATAAGTTCTGTTCAAAGAGGGAGAGGAATCTGTACCCGTTCGGTTGCAGTCGGGCAGAGGAAGGACAAGGAAGAGACGTGACATCTGGTGGGAGCCTCTTCTATTTTACAGCCTATCTAATGGGCTCTGGTCCCAAACCTATTTCCTTATTTATTTTCACAAGCCTGTCACAGGGTAGGTATTGTACGATTTCCACACTACAATGGAGAACACAGAGGCACAGGACGGTTAGGTTACATAAGTAAGTGGTAGATAACAGAACCGAGAGATCCGTATCTAGTCTTTCTGTCATCACAGCACTTGGCCCCATCACCTTATCCTCTTCCTGCTTTGCAGGAAACGGGCTCAAGGAGGTTAAAGTTAATTGCTTGAGGCAGAGGCAGAGCCAGGATTTGAAGCCTGACAACGGGGACCGCGTGCCCGCTGCAGAATCCTTGCCCAACACTCCCTGTGTCATGGAGACGAGGAGGTGCCAGCTTCTTGTGCAACATCAGGCTTCTTAATGGTAGTTTTTCTAGATGAAGGTGTTTCTGCCACTTAGGAAGACCCCTCCGTGTCGGAGCGGATCGTAGGAGGTAGTCCAGCCCATCAGTCTCTCTCCCAGCTGGATGGTGGTTTCTCACTTTCCCAGCCCGGTTCCCATCTGGAAGCTGTCTACCGAAAGACACGGTCTGATCTCCCTTGGTTGTAAATTTCAGGTTCTCATGGGTTTTTTTTTTCCCCCCCTTGGTTGGCTTTCCAGGGAAATGTTTGTGTTTGGTAGGGGGAATGAATTGTTCCTAACGAGTATGTTGTGTCTCCCATCTTAGCCACTACCGTTTGTGATCTGGATACCCAGTTCCGTTGCCAGGAGTCCGGGACCTGCATCCCCCTCTCCTATAAATGTGACCTCGAGGATGACTGTGGAGACAATAGCGATGAAAGTCATTGTGGTAAGGAGACATGACATCCAGGAGCCCCGTTCCTGAGCAGGGTGACTCTCTTTGCTCACTGGGCTGTTGTGGGTTATAGATGCAGAATTTCTTTTCCTTTCTTTTCTTTTCTTTTCTTTTCTTTTCTTTTCTTTTCTTTTCTTTTCTTTTCTTTTCTTTTCTTTTCTTTTCTTTTCCTTTCCTTTCTTTAAATTTTTTTTAAAGAAGTTTATTTATTTATTTTGAAAAATAAAGAGTGTGCGTGCAAACAGGGTAGGGACAGAGAGAGAGGAAGATGCAGAATCCCAAGCAGGCTCTGTGCCACGAACGCAGAGCCCCGCACGGGGCTCGAACTCACAGACCATGAGATCATGACCTGAGCTGAGATCAAGAGTTGGACGCTTAACCGATTGTGCCCCCCAGGCGCCCTGATGCAGGATTTCTGAAAGCGTCTCTGGGTTTATGATAGTCCGGCTGCATGACCACCATGGTAGAAATGATTCATTCAAAAAATAACAGCCGCTGCTTGTGCCTTGCAGAGGCGCTGTAAGCATGGGTATGATAGCGAGGAAGATTTCTAAATGAATTTAGGCGGTTCGTAACAGCTGTATGCGGAACAGACTCGGCCCACACATCTGGGCGGCTGTGAGATTAGCCTCCCGAACGCACAGATCAATACCTTTGTCAACGTTTTTTAAAACCAATCTAACTCAGTAAACTCTGTTAGAAGCCCAGCAGATGGTACGAACGTTGTTTGGACATCTGTTTCCCGAATGGAGATTTTTACATTTAGAAAAATTAGCGTGTTGGAATTGCAAGGCGTGATAAGGAGTTCTCTAGTTCAAGTTCAGTTTCCAATTAAATGACCGAAGGGACATACTTCAGGTGACATTATGAGTTTGTGTCAGAGTAGCACCCCGGAGCCTTGTTTCCCACCCCGCCCCCGCTGCTGCCCGGCACCGGCCCTGCCTGGTTCACGAGGCCTGTCTTGGTGAATGGCTCTGGTACCCAACTCGGCGTCGCTGACTGTGCAAGACATTACACAGTGCACACAGTGTACCAGATTGGAGGGATCCTGGCCATGAAGGGGAAGTGAGAACGGAGGCCAGACGCTGACCCCAGACATCGTGATGAGTTGGTGTGGCTGTGCCAGTTCTCTCTGCCCACCCACGGGGCAGGTCCGGTCAGGCTGTGCCGGTGCTTACAGATGGGGCCTGCTATTTTCACCAGCAGGCAGTTTGACCCCAGGGACTGGAATGAGGAGAGCAGGGGAAATGCTCCTAGCCTGGCTCTCTGAGGAATTTTGTGGGATCACGTCATTTTCCCTCATCTCTGTAAACATAGAAAGTTCTGGAAAGCAGTCTTCGGGATCCAGTGCTGTTCTCCCTGCATTTCTCCCGTCTCCTCCTCAGCGCCCTCAGAAGGGTGAAGGGCACAGCTTGGTAGGAAGGAGACCCCAGTGGTGTCACTCACTGGGCACACGTGTGACCATCCGAAGGCCGGGTTCTCCCTTCATGAGCCTGTTCATGCTAGTGTCTCCTGAGTCCACCCTGGGGTCTCAGTCCCTGACATCCTCAGAGCCAGGTCCTCTTAAATATCTGAATCCCCAACTTCACCCTCAACTTGTCTCCTGAATGAGGGCAACTCAGACTTGGCTACCTCTGTTTTCATAGAATCTTTTTTTTTTTTTTAATGTTTATTTACTTTTGAGACATGCGCGCGCACACACACACACACACACACACACACACAGAGTGTGAGCAGGGGAGGGACAGAGGGAGGGAGACACAGAATCTGAAGCAGACTCTAGGCTCTGAGCCATCACCACAGAGCCCAACGCGGGGCTCAAACTCATGAACCATGAGATCATGACCTGAGCCGAAGTCGGATGCTCAACTCACTGAGCCACCCAGGCGGCCCACGTAGAATTTTTAAAACTCCATTTCAGGGGCGCCTGGGAGGCTCAGTCAGTTGAGCGTCTGACTCTTGGTTTCGATTCAGGTCACGATCTCAACGGTTGGTGGGTTCGAGCTCCGTGTCAGGCTCCACGCTGACAGCTCAGAGCCTGCTTGGGATTCTGTCTCTCCCTCTCTCTCTCTGCCCCTCCCCCACTCGCTCTCACTGTCTCTCTCAAAATAATTAAATAAACTTCAAAAAAAAATTTTTTTTAAATTCCATTTGAAAGTTCTGTTTTAAAGGATAGTCCCAGGGCCTGTAAATGGTGTTGCCAGGGAAGCCTGCTTGCAAGTCTTGGCCAGGCTGCACGGGCTCATTTGCCTCAGGACCCCACCTTTCTAGAGACAGCCGGCCGGCCAACATTCCTGGAGCTCTGCCCACAGAAACTCCCCAGTTTCCTGTGTTTCGGGAGCTCGGCACTGACCTCACGTTCCCCTATCTGAGCATGGCATCCTAATCAGCCCCCTTGGAGTTCTCACTACCCCCTTTCTGAAACCACAGGCTGATACTAGAAGGCTTCTGTTTCTTGAGAATTCTGCTTTTTGGACAACTAGAGCATCGCCCCCAACCTTCCCATCGCAGCAGTCATAGACAGTGGTCATATTTGCAGAGTGCGCCGAGAATAACCCTGTTCTTTCCTGGAGGCAACCAGCAGCAGGAGTATCTCGGGGCACCCGTACCCCATTTGCAGCACGCTAGCTGGAATCAATCCTCAGCGGCCTTGCAAATCCCCGGTGCAAGCCCGTGCTATGTCTGGATAACTGGGGATGATGCGGATAACGTGTGCCCTGCTAACCCTTAGGGGCTCTGGCGCCAGAATGGAATCATGAGCGAGGCTTTGTCCCCACGGCTGTGTGTCTGTGGTCTCTCCTGCAGAAATGCACCAGTGCCGGAGTGACGAATACAACTGCAGTTCGGGCATGTGCATCCGCTCCTCCTGGGTGTGTGACGGGGACAATGACTGCAGAGACTGGTCTGATGAAGCCAACTGCACCGGTCAGTACTTCCTGCTCTCCCTGAACGGCACTTGTCTGTATGCGCGCTGGTTAGCCTCGCAGCCCTACGTGATCGTAGACTCTAGGCTCTGAGAACTGGACCGTAGACATCAGCCAATTGGCTGCTTCTCAAAGAGCTGGTCTGTGATGAGCTTGTGCCGACGGGTAAACCAACATCCTGCTTTCTTCATGGAGAAGGTCTTGCTGTGAAAAAAGGATTGACTAAACAGGTATCCTGATACAGTCGGTTCACATTCTGGCTCAAGCTTATTTCTTCTTGACCATTAATACACAGTTGACAGACTTGGTCCCTTGTCTGGGGACCCTACATTGGGTAGCACTGGACTAGCTCGTGGTTTTGATTTTTTTTTTAATGTTTATTTATTTTTGAGAGAGAGAGCGAGAGAGAGAGAGAGCATGAATGGGGGAGGGGCAGAGAGAGAGGGAGAGAGAAACACAGAATCCGAAGCAGGCTCCAGGCTCCGAGCTGGCAGCACAGAGCCCGACGTGGGGCTCGAACCCATGAACTGTGAGATCACGACCTGAGCTGAAGTCAGACGCTTAACCAACTGAGCCGCCCAGGCTCTCCTAGCTCAGGTTTTTGAATGGGGAGCATCAGAGAATTCCCCAACAGTCAAAGCCTAAAGTGTACTGTGCACCCGTTTGGGGCAAGATTTTATGAAAAATAAAGTTGGAAAGAGCATGAGGATATGAGAGAAAGGCTGGGCGGTGTGATGTGGAGGGAATGTTTGAATTCTTCTGTTGAGTGATGGGTTCACTCATGTTCCTTATACTACTTTTTATGAATGAATGAGTGAATGAATGAATGGATGGGGCCCATTTACATTATGGTGGAGTGGAGGAGAACAAAGAATTGGGAACGCTGTGGAGGGGGAAAAAAAAGACTGATCCCACTGCCTGATGAGTAAATTTTCTCTGCAACGTCTTGAAATTCACTCAGTTCTACGTTTAAATCTCTCCAGTGATGGGGCTAAGGTGGTTTCACGTACCCATTTCGTCGTGAGGGCAGATCTGCTTCTTGGCTTTGGTTTTCAATTCACTGTTAACTGCATTAACTTGTCATTCATGCGGTGTGGATCATGGCTCTTGTGGCGGGACTTCCAAGGCCCCTGTCTTAATCTCCCTCGCCCCCCACGTGCGCCACCGGTTCCTACACTGCCCAGCATCTGGGAGCTCGAAGCATGCCTACGAGTGTGTAAAAGCAAATAAAAAGAAGGTTATGTGATCAGATCCCAAATGTAAATAGAGACAACTTGTGTCGTGATGCTTTAGTTTAGATTTGGTTCCTGTAGGGCAGAAATGACCTTTGACCCCTTTGTGTTCTCCCACTGCCCAGCCCCTGGGAAGAGTGCCTGTTCAGGGAACTTTTGTCAATTTGGTAATTTACACAACTGCTTTTCTGTAGTCATCTTAGTTTCGAGGCGACCTCCTGTGGCCTTAAAGAGTACGTGGCCCTCCTCAAATGCCCTATCGTCCCACAGGATGATCTGTGATGTTACCAAATTCTGTGCCCTTGCAAACTTACCCTGAACTTGCCCTTTGTCCTTTCTGGTGTGATCTGTCAGTGTCTGAACCTCTCTTCTGGGGGCACTGCAGGAAAATGCTTCTCTCCAAACATGAGCATGGCCTGCAGAAGGAGGAAAAACCAAGGTCCGTGAAGGAATTGCCGTCAGCCCAGGAACCACGAGTGCTGTCTGGAAGCTGTGGGTTTGGGTGGATGATTGGGTAATAAATTAGAGGGGTGCACTTGGGCATTGCAGTTTGTAAATTGCAAAATGATTGAACATCTTGTTAGCACAACCGCGTTAGTCAATTTTGTGTTTCAGCAGCATGTGCTGATCTTCCGGGATGAATTATCAACCCGTTTCTATGGGTGGGCTCACCGTAGACTCCTGATTTTCCTCTCTGATTTTTTTCTGGCAGGGCTGTCTGGGGAAAATGTAGAGTGTTTGCACCTCACCTGCTCCCCTGTCCCCATGGCTGTTCTTCCAAAGCTATTTAAAGATGCTTCTCCTTCCCTGTCATCTCCGAATCGATGGCGGTCAGCTGTGAGCTCATTAGGATGTATGGCGTGTCACTTCATTTCCTGACCTAACAAATTAAGTCATCTGCAAAGCCAGGGAAAATAGATCGGGGTCGACCGACTTCCTGTCGGCCTCAGCTTGCGTGCAAGGTCTTTGCTCTTCTCCCCCCCTGCTTTTTCCTTTCATGGGATTGAATTTCCTTTATTCCCTTCTCCCCACCTCCCTGAATGGAATTTTGAACTTACACTTGATTTCTGTTGTATTAGCGGTTATGCTTAGACGTCTCGTGTGTCTTTCTAGTTACATCCGCCTCTCCTCAGAATGCCTGGATTCCAGTCTCTGCACATGGTCCCAAGACTAACAGACTCAGTAAATACTTAGTATTTTAGTTTCACATTTTAAAAATCCTAATACTAGCCATTGCTATTATATTTTAGTAACCATTTATCACTGCTTCTTGTATCTGATGCCTCCCTTCCAAGTACATCCTTCTCCATTTCTTACAGCAGGAGTCCGTGAATGGTAAACTCTTTTAAGTTTTGTTTATATAAACGTGTCTTTATTTTGCTGCTCTCAAATCCTGAATTCAGATGGATCTGGGTTTCTGGGTTTGTGGTAATTTTCCGTAAGTATCTTGACGAACTCATTCTGTTTCCTTCTGGCCTCTTCTGTGTTGATTTGATTTCTCCTGTCGGGTGATGTGTTCAAACAACAATCAGACATTCTTTCCTCTCGAGTTATCTGTAGGTTCTTGTTGATTCGCTTGTCTTGTGGCTGGTGTGCAGCTTCCCCCATCTAGGTGTGGAATTATTTTTATTTGTCCTGCTCTTGAGACTTGTGTTCCTTCTTGGGTCTGAGGATTTGTTTTTCATCGATTCTGGGGAACTACAGCCATCTTTTCAGCTCTATTTGCTACTTTCTCTACTTTGGTCTTCAGCAGTTACTGTCAACCATTTTGTTGGACTGTGCCCTCCTGTTGTTCATGGTTCCTGTTTTTGTATCCCCTGTCTCTTTATGACTCTTTATGACTATCTATAGTCTCGGTTACTTCCTCAGACTTCTCTTCCAGTTCAACAGTTCTCTTTTCAGCTAAATCTAATGGGCTGTTACACAAATCCACTGAGCTATTATTATTTCCATGACTATATATACATTTTTTAAGCTTATTTTTGAGAGAGAGAGAGAGAACAGGGGAGGGGCAGAGAGAGAGGATCCAAAGTGGGCTCTGTGCTGCTGGTAAAGAGCCCAAGGTGGGGCTCAAACTCACGATCCGTGAGATCATGACCTGAGCCAAAGTTGGACACTTAACTGACTGAGCCACCCCTGGGCACCTCATGACTATATTTTTTATATCTAGAATTTCTGTCTGGTTCTTTTCTTTATGCTTTACGTTATTACTTTTATTTCACTAATCATTGAAGTTATATTGATATTCTCATTTGTGTTCCCTCGTTCTCTTCCTGATAGTCCAGTGCTGTGTGTTGAATGTGGCAGTGCTTTCCTACCGCATTAATTCATTCATCCCTTCTGCCCCCCACTTGTATTTGGTTAATAATTTCCATCGGGTATTCCAGAGGGTCCTGCTGAGTCATAGAAGATCTGTCCAAGTCAGAGAGTAAGGTGTGGGATAATGGCCTCTGTTAGAAACCAGGATGCTCTAATTTCATGGTCATTTACCCCATTAGCCCATCCATTCTTATAGTCACAGTGAATCCTGCCGTGTGAAGGATTCCTATTTTTCTTCCCCAGTTCTTTAGTCTGTATTAAAGTCCGTCTCTTCTATCCCTGTGATTAAAAAAAAAAAGTATTAATTGAACATGTATTATTTACTAGACACTTACTGTCAGAGAGCTAATAAGTTACTCAGGAGGTGGGAAAATTCAGAAAAAGAGAATGTGTTAAGCATTGCATTCATACCTGGCCACTTAAAATGAAATTGTGCAAACTGATGAGTCTTTCTGAGCGCAGCTCCTGTGATAGATTTTGGAGATCTCAGACATGCCTCCCAGAATGGTCATTTGGAAACTCCATTAGCACTCTGAAATTGCTTTCAATTAAAAGTGAAATGCATAAGCTGAATAATAACAAGTAGATCAGTATGGTAATGAGCTTAGGCAACAGCATATTTTATGAAAGTGAGCAAGGCTTTGCTGAGGAATATTTTCAAGGGCTGTCAGACTTGGAAAACCAACAGATCAAGAAGTATTGCAGGCAATGGCTGTTTACTGGGGCAAAAAATCATGTGCCCTGTTACTCCTCTTACCAGATAAGTATATTTTAAAAAAAGATGTTTAATGGATTCCTTGTACCAAAGGTTGTAAAATATTGAGACGTCCTGTAGACCTGTTTGCATGCTACGCATCTATCCTTGATCTTCAGAGAGAGAGGAAGACAGCAGATAATGGACCACCACTTGTGTTAAAGTGGCTTGAAAGATCAGGTTCTCTGTATTTCTGACTGCTGCAAAAAATAGCCTCAAATTCAGTAGAAATTCTCGAGGGCGTTGGAAGCCAATTTTCCCAACCCTTGAGTAGCAGTTGCCAACCATCTTGATTGAATAAATAACTACAGTATGCACTCAGTAACCCACTTTTGTTTGTTTTGCCTCCTGGGTTGCGCAGACATCCTGTCCACACAGTTCAACTAACAGAGGGCTCATCTATCTCGGTGGTATTATTTTATGTCACTTGTCAAAAAGGCCAGGCCTGGCTTTCATTCGGCCACGAACAGACACAAGCGGCTTTCTGTTTCAGTGGAGGAAGGTCAACTCTCATGGAGAAGGTGGTTAGTCGTGTTGGTTGGGTTCAAGGCACCCAGTCTGCGTCTGAACCAGCCTTTGATCAGGGCTTCGAGAAGTTGCTAAAGGACTTCCAGGTGGCCTCAGCCCACGTATGCAGCTAGGGCTGTTCGGTTATAACAATAGCTCTGTTCTACTTGCCTCTTTTGAAATGATTGTCGGGGACACCACGTATTTATTGTTGGCTGGTGGATGTCACTCCTGACTGTTGAGAAAGACGAGTCTGGGAGGTCCTGGGACCTTTGTGAGCCTGGATAAATCTTCTGTGCCCTTTGGAGCTGAGGTTTTCCCCATCTGAAATTGGGTAGTTGGTTTAGAATTATAAAATGACAGCCTGTCAGAGCTAACCAGGGTCCTTACGTGTCAGCATCGATGATGAGACTGAGGCCCCCGCACGGTGGCTGGACCGGGTCTAGGGCCAGTCTCCTGAGCACCCGCCGCCCCTCCGTGTCCCACAGAATCTGCATGAGTGGGTGGGTTTATGGGAGAAGATGAAGTGGCAAGACGGAGCAGGGACAGCACAGGCTTTGGGCTGGGATAGCCCTGGAGCCATTACCTAATCGTCTTTGTGAACGTGGGCGAGTTTCTTCATTTCTCTGAGGCTGTTTCTCACCTGTGGACGGCGAATAATCCTTACATCGTAGGTGGTTGTGAAAAGCAAATGATTTTTTTGGTTGTTGTTTTTAACGTGTACATCTGCACTTGTATAACATTTCCAGACCCACAGAGCCAAGCGATTGCTTCATCAGGAGGCTGCCCCCCACCTTCAGGGCAGCCCCAGGTGCCTAGCTCCTGGCCAGGGAGGAGCTCGGGTGCTCCCCATGCGTACCTTTTGACCCAGTGCGGTGTCTCTTTAGTCAGCCCCTGGGTGGTTGGTGGGGGAGCGGCAGTGAGGGCGACATTCACGCACTCTCTCTCCTCTTTTGCCGGCAGCCATCTACCACACCTGCGAAGCCTCCAACTTCCAGTGTCACAACGGGCACTGTATCCCCCAGCGGTGGGCGTGTGATGGCGACATGGATTGCCAGGACGGTTCTGATGAGGATCCCGTGAAGTGCGGTAAATGCAAACGCTCCAGCCTTCCCCTGGAGCTTCCCCGGTGTCTGCTGGTCAGGAAAAGAGGCCACAGATGGGCCGGGGAGTTCTGCTCCACCGTTCCTCTCTGCCCACTCTGACAACCAAAGAAGCCCGCCCAGGTTCCGTATGGCATCGCGCAGGACGTAAAGGGGTGTGTGATACGGTCTTCATTGTCAGGCAAGCCGTTTGGCCTCATTGCTTTTCCATCGCAACTTTGAAGCAAAGCAATGGAAACCAATGAACGCACCCAGAGTGCTAACTGCAGTCACCAAGGATGGAAATTGCCAGGGTTCTGCCAGAACTTAGCCAACGGTTTCTCTATAAATAGCGTACTTTATGACTGAGAGTTCTCTGTTATGGTCCTTTGGTAAAATGGACCCTTCCCCGAAGGTAGAACATTTTCAGCATAAGTGATTTAGAAGAGAATTCTGAGGTCATCAGTTACCTTCACAAAATAGCTATGACACGAACACAATGTATGAAATCCTCTTTTATACCAAATATCTTTAAGGTTCCCTCTCCTTATCCTTTTCTCTATAACGTCTGTCAGAAACCAATCCCCCGTGTTTCTCCTCTGCTCTCAATATTCTGCTCACAGAATACTTCGACATTTCTTGGCCACCAAATGTGTGTTTTCCACACTAAGCAATTCTTCAGTACCAGCCGGGTGTCCCACAGTTAATTCATTCCTTACTTTGTCTTCCTTGGGATAGTGTGAGACCTTACAGGGGAAGGGTTTGGTCCCCAACGCCCCCCCCCCCCCCCCCCGACTTCAGATGCCAGTCACAAGCCTCAAATTGCCACCTGAACTTCTGACCGACCGGCCATAAATCCACATTCCCACGTCCCCTCCCTTGGGTTCATCGATTTGCTAGAATGGCTCACAGAATTCAGGGAAGCACATTTCCTACTTGATTCAAAAAGGACAGAATGAACGTCCTGATGGAAGGTACGCGTAGGGCAAGGTATAGGAAAGGGATGTGGAACTTCCGTGCCCTGTCCAGACCTGTCACTTCTCTAGCCTCTCTGTGCTCAGCAACCTGGAAGCTCTCTGAGCCCCATACTTGTGGATGTTTATGGAGGCTTTACGGCATAGGCATGACTGATCATTAGCTGTTTCTAGCCCTCGGCCCTTCCTGGAGGATGGGGAGTGGGGTTCAAAGTTGCAAGCCTCTGGTCATGGCATGGTTTTTCTGGTGATCAGCCCCTATCCTAAAGCTACACAGGAGTCTACCCAGAGTTGCCCCATTAGAACAAAAGACACTCCTGTCACCTAGGAAATGATAGGGTTTAAGAGCTCTGTGCCACTAACCAGGGGCAGAGACCAATATATCTATATATTTCCTGTTATTATATACCATACGTTCCGGATCTTCATGGGATGGTAGTCATTGCACATCACATACTCTGTTCCTTTCATGTCACCGTATTAAACAAAGATGTTTGCCTCTATCTGTATTTTTCTGTAGTTAGCATTTTCATGGCAGATGCATATTCACTTTGTGTTTCTCTGACGTGGTTTACTTGGTTGCTTCCTGGTCGGGCATTAGCGTGTTTTTAATTTTACACTGTTATACGTAGTGAAATTATTCACTTCTTTGGAAACGAAGGTTTAGTTTTTCTTGAAGGTACTCGTTATGATATGTTTTCTCAGTATGGAATGGCTGGGTCAAGGGTTCTGATGTGTTTTCATGATTCTCACTAAGTGTCGCCATATTGCATTTCCGAGTGATTATGCCAGAGGCATCTCTATCAGTAACATAGTGTATGTTTCCCCAAGTCTCCCTTGATCTTACATTTTATCTCTTTAGTTGTTTTCACTAATGTAATAATGAATGGGGGTTTGTCTCGTGTAATTTTAATTCTATACTTTTATAGAAAGCTTTTATAGTTAGTGGCATTAAATATTTCCCTGACTCATGGTACTCACTTACTGTTTCTGTTTGATGTCCTTAGAATAATTTCCTAGGCATGATGGCTTTTTAGGGGATGAAAACACATTTTCTTGCCTTACACATGACCCTCCCGGAGCCATTCTCCTAAGAGTTGGGTTTGCAGTGGCCCGTGACTCGCGTGCTAGAACTTACATTTAAGCCTAGTGGCCAGCAGCAGCTCTGTGTTCATGAGAAAGGGTTACCTCATACTAAGAATTCTCTGCTAAGTGTAAAACCTAAGATTCTTAACATTTCTAGGATGGACTTTGTCCAAAGGGCTTTGGCTTAGAATTCCTGAAGAATTAAGATGGTGATTTATGAGAGCTTTAAAAGACCAGGGTTTATAATCAGGATTCAGCAACTCCTTTTCTTTTTTTTTCATTCACCGAAGCTTTTCTTGAAAACATGTACTCCGTTTTTTAAGTAGGTAACAGGTTCAAAATGGAAAAAAGTATCACGAGGTGTGGGGGTAAACATTTCTCTCCCCATCTGCCGGACTCTCACCCTGTCCGTGTAGGAAACTTTGGTTGGAGTCCCTTGTAGGATGTTTTTGTGCGTATGTGCACGTTTAAATACAGTGTGTATTCCTGTGCTGTTTTACACGAGTCGTATGCTATGTGTGTTGTTTCTCACCTTGGTTTTTTTTTCACACAACCATGTATCTAGGACACATTTTTACAGAGTACTAACTACTTCTTCAGTCCCTTTGTAACAATCTGGTGCTCCAGTTGTACGTACAACAAGGTCTTACAGAGTCCCCTGTTGAGGGACGCGTACGTGGTCCTCAGGGTATTGCAAAGAGTGTCGCGGTGAATAGCCTTATACCTACCCGATTTTCCACTTGTGTGGGCAGATGGCGTTTTTCCAACGGCATCGCCGGCTCAAGGCGCATGTACACTTGCAATCGGGACAGCCGCTGCCCATCTCCCACCCTCCTGAGGGGTGGTACAGACCCGTCCCCTTCTCCCCCCCGCCACGATGGGTGTGCATGCCTGCCTGTTTCCTCTCCGTCATTTCCCTCCGTTGTCGGGTTGCATTTCAGAGAAGAAGTGTAACGGCTTCCGCTGCCCGAACGGCACCTGCATCCCCTCCAGCAAGCATTGTGACGGTCTGCGGGACTGCTCGGACGGCTCCGACGAGCAGCACTGCGGTGAGTCCCCTCCCGGCAGCGGCGGGGCGATCGTGGAAGAGGTTGTAGCTCGGCGAACCTTGTCGCTTCTTCGCAGTGTGTTTGGGGATTGGCCCATTGTTTGGAACTGAACGCTTACTTCTCCTACTTCCCTTTTGCTGACTATCGCTCGGGTACCATTTTTGGCCGGGGAACCCTCTTACCCTCCATTTCCTTTCTACTCGTAGAGGTTGTCTCGGGTCACTGGTGCTCCTGCCCGAGTATGCTTTGCCTGGGTCCATCCCTCCCAACCCTAGATTTCTGATGTAATTCTGGAGCATGGCCTGAGCATGGGGATTTTTTTTTTTTAACGTTTATTTATTTTAGAGAGAGAGAGAGAGAGAGAACGAGTAGGGAAGGGGCAGAGAGAGAGGGAGACGCAGAGGCGGGCTCCAGGCTCTGAGCTGTCAGCACAGAGCCCGACGCGGGGCTCGAAGTCACGAACCGCGAGATCGTGACCCGAGCCGAAGTGGGACGCTTAACCGACCGAGCCACCAGGGCGCCCTGTAAGCATCAGGACCTTTAAAAAGTGCCCCGGGTGTTTGTGATGGACAGTCCAGGTTCAGAACTGATGTAATAGTGGAGGGGTGGCAGTCGGGCCTTGGGGGTGGAAAGCCAGCCCGTATGTGGCCTGTCCTATTAACTGAAGTTTTCTGTAAACACAGACACTCCTGCTGCTTCCATGCAACTGTAGCCGAGTGGAGTGGTTGTGGTAGAGACTGTATGACTCTCAGAACCTTGAGAACTTGCCCCCTGGTTGTGCCGCTCCCCGTTCTCAAGGAAAACAGAACCAGTAGGACGTGTGTGTCATATGCAGAGAGATTTCTTTTCAGGGATCAGCTCATGCAGTTTTGAAGGCCGGTGAGTTCCGAAATCTGCAGGGTAGGCTGGCAGGCTGGAGACCCAGGGACAGGCTGATGCTGCAGTTCAAGTCCAAAGGCCATCTCCTTGCTGTGTCCTCAATGGCATTTTGTCTGCACCTGCATCCCTGGTGTCTCTTCCTAGGAGGCCACCGCCCACACTGGGCCAGGGCCCCACCCACATGAATTCCTTTAACCTTAATGACCTCTTTAAAGGCAATTAAAAGGGGTTCTGTCTCCAAATACAGTTACACCGGGGATTAGGGCTTTAACATACGCATCGTCGGGGGTGTAATTCCATCCATAACACTGGTCCTTTACAGAAAAAGTAGTAGAGAGTCCATATTCTTTTTTCTTTCTTTCTTTCTTTTTTTTTTTTTT